AAGAAAAAGGATTTGTTTCCTTGGAAATTGAGCCGGATTTAAAATACTTTTTAAAATAATAATAATAATAATAATAATAATAAGTAATAGGTAATATTTTAAGCTGTCAAAATCAAAACCAACTGTTGTTATTTATTTATTAATCAATACATAAATAATATTTGTTAGATTTTTTTTTAAAGAAGGAAAGGTAAGAGCAGAAGAAGAAGAGATTTTGAAAAATATAATTTTTTTTTTAAAAGCAGACTCTTTTTTTTTTTTACTTTTAAATTAAAAAATTTGAATTGGAAGATGCTTAACAATTAATAACTTAATTCAATCACGTGACAATATGACGCAATTTAAATTAACCTGGTATTATTTATTAACATTCGGAGGAGATTTTTTTTTCTACCTTTTTTTATCATTTTAATATTTTAAACGAATATAAATTTTAAAATCTAAATAAAGAAAAATAATAATAATTTGACATGTTTTCAAAACAACGGTAATAACGTAAATAAATAAATAAAATTATACTTTTATATGAAAATATTAGCAAAAGTGACATCTATAAAAATTAAATAGAAACTTTTATTAGAGTTTATTATTTTCCCAACAGAGGGCTTTATGAAAAAAAATTAGTTTCATTTTTGTTCACGTTTACAAAAAACAATAAATTCGAAGGGAAAAAAAAATTTTTTTAAATTTAATTTTTTAAACAATAATTGTTTGTTGTAATTAAAATAAATATTATTTATTATCGATTAGATAAATTTTCAAAAACATTAGAGTGTTTTGTTTTAATTTTTTAAACGTTTTTTTTTTCTTTACTAAATCAAAATTCGAACGACGTGTTTACTTTTAGGTAAGTACTTAAATCTCAAATTTTTATAAACATTTATGTACCATAACTCAATCACAAACGTTATTTATTTATTAATGTTGAATAAAAAGCTTTTATTTAATAAAACTTTTTCATTTTTTTTTTTAAATTTAAAATAAAACAATACGACGACGCGATAAATAACCGTTAAAAATTATTTCGTTAGAAAAAGAATCCCCCTAGCGATGAAAATTCCAACTATTATTTAAAAAAAATAACAACAGAGCGCAGAGTGATCGTCGGATTTTCTTCACCCTTAATTTTATCAACATTCGGTGTGTTATGGCGTATAAAAAAAAATTTTTTTTTTTCCATTTTTCGAGGATTAAATCGTATTAATATGGCAATTAGCGTTAATATTTTTATAAATATATATTATAAAAATCATGAATAATATATGCATATACGTGAAATCATATTAAATTTATTTAAAATAATTAATCTTTTTTTTTAGAAAAAGTTTTTAAATAAAAAATAAATAAATGACACAAAAAAAAAGAGTTTTTAATACGGTCCCCCATTTTTCCTTTCTTTCTTGTTTTTCGTCAAGTAAAAATTTAATAAACAAGATTCTAAAAAAAAAAAAGGGAGCTTTTATTACGAGAATTTTTTTTTTTTTTCTAGTAACAACAACAAATTTTCTTTAAAAACAAAGTCAATTTTTATAAAAAAAAGAAAATTTAATGAAATTTTATAAGTTTCACAATTTTATTTATCCGGAAAATAATAAATAAATTCATTTATTTATTTATTTTTAAATTAATAAACCCCGGTTTATTGAATTTTCTTCGACGGAAAAATAATAAAAAAAGAAAAACAATTATTATTATTATTTAATAACCGTTTCGTTTCTTATTTATCTTTAATTTGACCTTTTTTTTTTTTTGACAAACTCCATCTTTTAATTTTATTAATATTACACAAAATGGAAAAAAAAAGTCAAAGGAAAAAAAATATAAACAACAACAACAACTAAAAATTTTCTCTCTCTCTCTCTCTCTCTCTCTCTCTCTCTCTCTCTCCCTTATCAGTAATTTTCAGTGCAAACATAAACATTTGACGGATGGTTGACTTTTGTCGAATAATGTCTGAACAAACTGAACAAACACAAACTCGACGCGCACACACACACACATAAAGCAACACGACAACGTCGATATCGAAAAAATTATTAATAATAATAATAATAAACAAATATGATAACACTCGATGAGGTGAAACCAATTAATTTCGGTAAATGATAAAAGATAATGGGGGAGAGGGAAAAAAAACAAAATGGCGTCGTCGGTGTAAAAATAAAGTGCGAAATGGAGAAGGGGGAGAGAGCGGGGAGTAGGTAAGACGGGGAAATGAATAAATCATTCTCGATGAATAATCTATATA